AGCGGAGAGTGCAAGTGGCGATTGCAAGTGACTTCGTAATTTAGTTTCTTTTGTCTTGTCTCAGCACCTGGCTACTGTTGTAAAATGTTGAGAGATTCAAACAAAAAGTAATCAATAAATAGAACAAAATAAAAAAGACTGCAAGTGACGTCGCTAGCGGAAGTGCAAGTGTCTGAGAATGCAATTCTGAGAGTGCAAGCGCAAGGCTGCAGCCAGACCCTTTTGCTGAATCATGGGCGCAGTTGATTCATTCAAAAATGTGGATGGAAACATAGCTGTGTGTTGCTCAGAAAGGCACAACAGTTCTGCGAAATTGATCAAAACAGACAGTATTGACAATTTTGCGTCAAAAATGTAACACAATATAATAATATCAATATTATTTGCTTTCGTGCAGATATTCAGGAAAAAAAGCAGTCTTGCTCATGATATTGCCTGGTAACACTTTACAATAAGTTCATGAATAGTCATGTACAAATACCTTAATTAAATATTATTTTAATATGAACTAACCTTTTTTTTATTTGTATAGTGCTTTATACAATACTGATTATGTAAAAGCAGCTTTACAGTGTCAAACAGGAAAATAGTTTGTCAATAATGCAAAAAGACTATAACAAAGAGTGCAGACTATAACACAGGTGCAGAGGACTTCTCTTTCCCGTGGTCTTGTGCAGATAGTCATCGAGGTGATGAGGTCTTCGCAGGGGATCTGTCTCTGGGGCGCATCTAGTTGACATGGTCTCCACTGACATTCAGGGCTGTAGAGGTTGTAGAGATACGGACTGGATCCGGATGTCTATGGTGACCTCAGAATAAGAATGAAAGAGACTAATATTAGCGTAGATGCCATTCTTCTTACGATGTGGCAAGTACATCAGGTGTTATGGGAAGTTTTCATGGTTCCGGTTGACCTAATTGATGCAGTTTAACAATCCTTTAACGGATTTGAGTTATAGAAATGTGATAGTGTATTATGTGTATGCCAGGTTAAAGAGATGGGTCTTTAATCTAGATTTAAACTGACAAAGTGTGTCTGCCTCCTGAACAACGCTAGGTAGGTTATTCCAGAGTTTGGGCGCTAAATAGGAAAAGGATCTGCCGCCCGCAGTTGAGTTTGATATTCTAGGTATTATCAAATGGCCAGAGTTTTGAGATCGCAGCGGATGTGAAGGACTATAATGTGATATGAGCTCGCTCAAGTATTGAGGAGCTAAACCATTCAGGACTTTATAAGTAATTAGCAAGATTTTAAAATGTATTCGTTGTTCAATAAGGGAGCCAGTGCAGAGTTGACAGAACCAGGCTAATATGGTCATAATTCCTGGT